GTATGACAGGAAACTTTGCGTAATAACAGCTAATATTAATAAAACAAAGTGCAAAAGGCGTGACCCCCCAGACCAATAGCAAAAAAGGTAAAACATTTTTGAAGAGGTTAAAAGTTGTGTTTTTAACTTTATTTCTAACCACACTTTACACGTGACATCCGTGATTGATATAGCACATTGACATATTATGTCCAAATGTGTAAAATATCCTGACAAGTATAACGCTATTTGTTATTTTTCAAACCACAGATGGCAATGATAAAGTTAGTTTCATCGATTTGAATTCATATTAGCAGTAGTATCAAATTCAGTGTTTAAATGTGAAGAAAGACCTCAAATGGGAAGTTTGGCGAGCGATCGTATTCAGCTTAAACCCGCAGGCATAAAACAGGGAACTAAAAATGAACGATTGGAAAAGTTCCAAAAAGATTTGTCCTAATTGGTTACACCTTGGTTGAATTTTTGTTGGCTCACACATTTCTCGATATAGCTGGTTACTATTTTTGCATTTGGGGGGTTAAGTGTCCAAGCTATGTTTCCTACGCAGGTAACTTATTTACTGAACTGTTTTCGAAATAAAGCATAAACATGTGACGTAAATTAAAGAAAATATATCCGTATCATGAGGCCGGATATTACGCATGCAGTTGGTAACTACACTATTAACAACTCATTACTAGACACCCTTTTAGTCTTTAAGCCATCAGAAGACGGTTGTCACCAATTTTATCGTTTAGTATTGCCCTAATCTCTACCGAGGCTATCGTCGAATTGTTTGGTATTCTCGGTAACTTCCTCGGTTGATCATTGCTAATTCTCGTCTTGGTCGATCTCTAAACTACGCACACTCGCTTTAGCATACCGATTCGACTGACTTGCTCGACAGTAGGGTTTGCGGGCTTCTTCTAGTTACAACCCTTATAAAAACAAGTTTTCATTTGAAAACTGTAACTCCCATTCTGGAGTATATACACAATTTCGTTTTGTGCTTCGGTACATTGCCTCTTGCATGTCATCATCCTCTAATTCTGCTCTTTGACAGGTTTCAGTTTTGGTAATCGTTGTTACTTCCGGAAAACTGTTCAAGCAATATATGAGGCCTCCTGTGGTTTGCTTAGCATTAGGGTCATCAACTTCCTCATTACTCGTTGTTATTTCCGGAAAACTGTTCAAGCAATATTTGAGGCTTCCTTTCACTCTGGTATGCCTTCTATGACTGAGCGAAAGATTTGAGGGCGTGTTTTATTCCCTCTTTTTGTTTTGAAGTAAATTGCCTCCATGCTAGTGTGTTTGGAAGATGTTATCAATTCAGTGAGCCGAGGACTTTCACATCCCTCTAGATCCACACGAATATCGAATAAAACATTGGGATGATAAATATATCAAACAATTAAGATTAGATCGGCTTGTTCATTTCGGTTGACGAAATTTAAAGGAAAACTCATTCAAGAAATTGGA